TTTTTACTCGGCGTAGATAGACTAGTCAATGCACCCCATAGGATAAAAGTGGGTTGCAAACCATGGAGGGAGATAAATCGACATGGTTTTGATAGATGAGAGAGTTTGTGCATCTGATTTTGTGGTTTGAGGGAGAAAAGTTACACTTGGATTATAGTTGAAGGAGAAAGTGTAGACTTTATGCAACAAAAACAAGGAAAAGGGGGGGGAGTACACCGAAGGTCCCTGAACTTGTCATCGAGTTACCAAAACGTCCTCAAACCGCAAAACCAGACATCGGGGGTCCCCTAACTATCAAAACCGGGTCAGTGTTGGTCCCAGGGAAGTATTGTGCCCGGTTTTGTCATACGTGGCGCATTGACCACGGTCTTCAACGCTGAGTTAGCAGGGGCGACGGGGTTCGACGCTAAGTCAGCAGGGCGGTAGTTAGGCCCGTGGCGCACAGCAGACTCGTTACTCCTCACTCCTCACTCGTGTGAAAACCCTAGATCGGGATGGCCGGGGCGATGCTGCTGGCGACGTGGTCGATTTGCAGCAGGCGGCGGCGGAAGGGGCGGCAGAAGGGACGGCGGAGTGTCGCGCCGAGGTGGTGACTGGTTTGGCACGGCCGCCAACAACATCGAGCTCGACCTGGATCTGGTGGTGGCCTAGGCACGGCTGCCGACGGCCACCTTGGGGCGACCTCGGTGGGGAGTCGGAGCCAGGTGCGGCGGCCGGCGGGGGTTTCATCGGCGAGTATTCCACCTGCAATCCGATATCCGAATCCGGCAGGTATTCCATTTCCTCTATGAGTTTGTGTGGTTGCATGGTATCAGTGGGATGTGGGAAGGAATATTTTTAATGATTTTTGATGTTGGGATTTGGTGTAAGCTGCGAGTTATTTATTTAGGTTTGTACTTGATTAGGGTATGTTTAGGCTTAATTTAATGCAGAAGTTAGGATTTGGTACTAGGTATGCATGTGTAGGACCTTTTTTTTTTGGACCGAGTGTAGGACAAATTTAAAATGCTCTAAGTCAATTTTATATCTTGTTCTGCATGAAGGGGATGGACGTGTTGGACACTCTTGTGGTTAGGTTTCATCTGAAGGGGGTATTTGTTTTAGATGGGAGTGAGAAGAAATATTGTGGTGGATCTGAGGCTCTGTCATATGTAGAAAGAGACAAGGTTTCTTTGCCCGAGCTATTTGGACACCTAAAGGACCATTGCAATGTGATGTCTGGGACTTTGCTCCACTGGTTGTTTCCTGGTAAAGATTTGCAAACAGATCTTCGTGCTCTTTCTAATGATAAGGCTTGCAAACTGATGTGTGACTATACAGGAGAATTGGATATAGCAGATGTATATGTTGAAGAGCCAGAGATTGTTGATTTGTGTAATGGGTCTGATGATGACAGTGATTGGGAGGCAGAAATGAAGTTAGAAGTTGAAAGTGAAAAGGAGGGTGGGAAAATGGAGGTTGATATAGATGTATCCAAAGGGAAAGGGGTTGATGAGGTTGATGGTAGTGGATGTAAGGGTAAAGAACCGGCAGAGGAAGAAACTGATAGGAGGATAGTTATTTACCACTCTGATTCAGCACCTATTGCTAGCCATCAACCTTGTCAAAGTGCACCCTGTGGTAGCCATCAACCTTCTGCCAATGCACCCATTCCTAACCATCCAACATATGACAGTACACCCATAGCTAGCCACCCACCTTCTGACAGTGATGAAGACAGTGATTATACTCCAGGGGATGATGCTCAGTCAGATGATGATGAAGAGGCTGTTGAGATAGAGAAACATTACAAGGAGGTCAAGAGGAAGGTTAAGGCAGGACAACTAGAGAACCTAGATGACATTTTTTTCCAGAGGGCTGAACCAAGAATGCATACAGGTGGTGATGAGGCAGGGAATGAAACCCCTTATGCAGATAGTGATGAGGAGGAATCATTTGATGAACTTGGCAGTGATGGGGAGATGAGGACTAATGGCAGCCATCAAGCAAGGTATAAGAAGAGCCAAGGTGTCCCTAAATTTGAATTGGGGATGAAGTTCAGTTGTAAGAAGCAATTCAAGAAGGCTATTACAACATATGCTATTGCAGAGAGGAAAGTGATCAACTTTGCTAAGGATGATGGGCAAAGGGTTAGGGCAAAGTGTGATTGGGAAAGTTGTCCCTGGGTATGTCTGCTTTCCAAGAATTCTAGGTCAGACAGCTGGCAAATAGTAACCTTTGACAACCTGCATGCTTGTCCACCTAGGAGGGATAGTAGGCTGGTTACATCTGTTATGATAGCAGAAAAGTATGGCAATTTCATAGCTGCTAATCCTTCCTGGCCAATAGCTCATATGAAAGCAACTGTACAAGAAGAAATGTTTGTAGATGCATCTGTCTCTAAGCTGAAGAGAGCAAAGTGGCTTGTGATGAAGAAGAAGTTTGACTCAGCTAAGGGGCAATACCAAAAGTTGTTTAATTACCAACTTGAACTTCTCAGAAGCAACCCTGGCAGCACTGTGGTTGTGAATAGGGAGATTGGCATGGATCCACCAGTATTTAAGAGGATGTACATATGTTTGGATGCATGCAAGAAAGGTTTCACAGCTGGGTGTAGGAGAGTGGTGGGGCTGGATGGATGTTTTTTCAAGGGGGAAACCAATGGAGAGCTGTTGTGTGCTATAGGCCGAGATGCCAACAATCAGATGTATCCTCTAGCTTGGGCAGTTGTTGCAAAGTAAAACAATGAGGAATGGGACTGGTTCCTTGATTTGCTTTGTGGTGATATCAAAGTTGGCACAGGAGCTGGTTGGGTCTTCATTTCAGATCAACAAAAGGTGGGTATTAATTCCTTGATTTGCTTTGTACTGATTTATTTTCTGTTGTGTCAACTTTCACTACATCTGTCTGACTAAATTTTGCAATTCTGTTTGGTATGCAGGGTATCCTTAATGCTGTGGAGAAATGGGCACATGAGGCTGAGCATAGGAACTATGCTAGGCACATTTATACCAATTGGAAAAGGCATTTCCATGAGAAGCAGTTCCAAAAGAAGTTCTGGAGGTGTGCAAAAGCTCCATGCATAATACTATTTAATCTTGCTAGGGTTAAACTTGCACAGGTCACTCAAGCTGGAGCTCAAGCTATACTGAACACACATCCTGAGCATTGGAGTAGAGCTTGGTTCAGGTTAGGTTCTAACTGTGACTCAGTTGACAATAACTTATGTGAATCTTTCAATAGATGGATATTAGAATCTAGATTTCATCCAATTATCACAATGCTTGAGACAATTTGGAGAAAGGTCATGGTTAGGATCAATGATCAAAAAGCAGCTGGTGCTAAGTGGACTACTGTTGTATGCCCAGGAATTCTCAAAAAACTTAATGTTTACATCACTGAATCAGCTTTTTGCCATGCTATTTGCAATGGAGGTGATAGTTTTGAGGTTAAGCACCATGACCATAGGTTTACAGTACACTTGGACAAGAAGGAGTGCTCTTGTAGGTATTGGCAGCTCTTAGGATTACCATGCCCTCATGCTATATCATGCATATTCTATAGAACAAATAAGCTAGATGACTATATTGCACCTTGTTACTATGTGGATGCATTTAGAAGCACATATGTGCATTGCCTTCAGCCATTGGAAGGAATGAGTGCTTGGCCACAGGATGATAGGGAACCACTAAATGCACCTGGATACATTAAGATGCCAGGAAGGCCAAAAACTGAAAGGAGGAGGGAGAAGCATGAGCCACCCAAGCCAACCAAGATGCCCAAGTATGGTACTGTAATTAGATGCACTAGGTGCAAGCAAGTTGGGCACAACAAAAGCAGTTGTTCAAAGCATCAGTCTAGTGGTTCTGGCACAGTGGGTTCTCAACAGCAAAATCCTTCACCAAGCCAGCAGATGGTGTTATCAAACACACTAGGCAGTTCTGCTCACAGCAAGAAGAGGAAATTTGTCAGCCTGACTACCACAGACACTACAAGCCAATCCAGGACCAAACACTACAAGAGCAAGGTAAATGCAAAAAATTATCCATTCCAAAGTTATCCTTTAACCGAAGCAAAGTTTAACATTTAGCACATATATGTCATTGCAGGCACCAATGGAGAGCCAGGAGATGGTCAGGGTTGTTGCAAGTGCCAAAGTTTGCACAGAACATGGTGGATCTGCTCAAGTTGATCTGCAAGCAATAGTTCCCCATTCCAAAAGCTCCACAACTGCATCTGTGAGGCTGACATCTGGTAAGGCAATTGTGTCTGTCTCAACTGAAGAGCCTACAAAAAATCTGCCAAAGAAGAAAGCTGGAGGAGCTCTCATTCTTCTTCCATGGGAAACCAAGAAGCTCTGAATGTGCCCATTTCTGTGTGTCATGTTATGTTGAAACATGCTCTCTGATGTAATGGCAGACTTTTAAGCCAACTATTTATGTGTGTGATGTAATGGCAGACTGCATTTAGCCAACTATATCTGTGTGTGATGTAATGGCAGATACTAGACAGCCAACTATTTCTGTGATGCCATACTATTTGGCTTGCTTATCTGTGATGTAAGACTTAAGTTGTGATGCCATACTGATTTGGCTATCTATGTTACTTAATTGAGACTTAATGGTGTGCAACTTCATTTGCTATTCTCTTAATGGTGCAAATCCAATTATTTCAGGACCATTTGCTCCCTGACTGGATGTTTCCTGCAGAAATTTACATGTTGGCTTACATATGTTGCTACAATAGATGCACTAGCTCCCTTCTGTTGAATTCAACCAACAATATTGCACTTAACATCCATGTAATCTTTGCACAGCTTGAAACATATAGCCAGCTGTATTTTGTTGTCACATTTGATATTGCAACCATTCATTTAGAACTCATCTTTCAATTAGCAACCATTCATTGACATAACTCATTCCAAATTGATAGCACAACTGATACATATATCTCATCAAACATATTGTCTTTCCAGAGCATAGCTAACACATAATATAGGACCTGATTACATCATATTGGCCACACATCACAATGTCTCACTTCTTCCCAAACAACACCACAAATAGCACAAACATACATGACACCACACATATTACAAAGACTTTTCTTTCCTTCTCTAACTTATGATTCCTGGCCTTCAAGCACATAATTTCTGCATTCTTCACAGCAACCACACCACGAGCATCATCTATCACTTTACTCTGTACTTCCACCTTATCCCGACTCTGTTCGACCTCCTTTCGCATCACTTCGTTCTCCCTCCTCAACGAATTCACCCTGTCCCGCAAATCATTCAAGAGCTCCCTGATGAAGCTTGACGTCGGCCCGTCGTACCATGCCCAGAAATCACACCCCCCTTGCTGCAAGAAAAAACCCCACTTCAAACCCTAAAAATGCAAACTCAACAAATCCAACTCGTAATACCAAAATCCCTCACTTACCCGAGCGTTTTGGCACTTGTAATACCGGCGCCCAGGGTTGTCCGTGCTCCACGAGATCCACCTCGCCGCCTTGGCTGGTGGACGGCATCGGCACATCACTGCGGGCTGATATTCTAGCGGACCAACCCGATAAGGCACGGGATATGCCTTCGACTCACGGGTAGACGACGAGCCGTCGCTCATCGAGCTCGACATCTCCGCGCCGCCGCTCGCCACCGCTCTCCAAGTCACTGCCGCCGCCGCCGCCGCCCCGCTCGGTTCCTGCTTCGCTAGGGTTTCGGGGAATGGGGATAACCTAACCGCGTGCCAAACATTTCGCCCATTATATCCTAACTACCGCCCTGCTGACTCAGCGCTGAAGACCGTGGTCAATGCGCCACGTAGGACAAAACCGGACACAATACTGTCCTGGGACCAACACTGACCTGGTTTTGATAGTTAGGGGACCCCCGATGTCTGGTTTTGCGGTTTGAGGACGTTTTGGTAACTCGATGACAAGTTTAGGGACCTTCGGTGTACTTTTTCCAAAAGGGGGCCATGAAAAGGGGCAGGCTAGACCTGAACCCAATAACAAAATGTGCATGGGAGGAGTTTGGTGCAGCGCTTGCAGCTGCCATGCAGTGGCTGAGCCAGTATAGCACATGATTCGAGTGAGGAAGATTAATACGTTTTTTTATCAACTAAGGCTCTGTTTAGTTCACACCAAATTTCTCCCCCAACTCCTAACTTTCCATCACATCACATCGCATCCAAAACTTTCCTACACACACATACTCCTAATTTTTTTTCTAAACTATCAACTTTCCTCAAACTTCTCCCCAATTTCAAAAACTAAACACAGCCTAATTTTTTTGTAAATATTAATAGGTGTCAATAGAGAAGACGGCAGAGGTGAAGTTCAGGACACGGTCACCCAACCTACTCGCGAGCTGGCTTCGCTGCTGCCTCGATGTTCTGACGGCTGACACGCGTACAACTGAGGCGCTCCCCTTCCTTTTTTTCTTGCAAATTCAAAATCTCCTTAAAATGTGTCTGCCTTCAGGTTGAACGTATAATTGACTGAATTCAAATCCTCTTCAAACTAAACACGACGTGTAACGGAAATGCAGAATCCGGATGTTAACGGGAAGCAGAGTCCGGTTGTTCATGGGCTAATACATGTGCATCTTGACTTCTGGAGCAAGAATATCTGAGCAGCCAGAAACACAATTTACTGACTATTAACAACCAGAATCACAAGACGTCTTCTTGATAGTTACTACTAACTACTTCATCTGTTTCACAATATAAGTCATTCTAACATCTCTCATATTCATATTGATGTTAAGAAATCTAGATATAAATATGGAAGATGTTAGAATGACTTACATTGTGAAATGGAGGTAGTAGCTAGCAAGAACAAACAACAAAAATTAAAAAGGCCGATAAAAAATAATCTACATCCGGAGAGGCTGCACCGTTGTAGCGGCATTACGTCGAACGCCACCGCCGCCGGCCGGTGCAAGCTAGCTAGCCTCAACTCAGTGAGCGCCGGACGGCTTCGCTATCCACATCCATCGCCGCCGCATTGTCCTTCAGATCACATCCCCGGAGGCCCGGAGTCAGGGGGAAAAGAATGAGGAACTCCGGCGTAGGGAATCCCGGCGTAACCGCAAGCGGCGGCGGTGCCTGTGCCGGTGCCTGTGCCTGCTTCTGGTGGTGGAATCCCGGCGTCAGAGGGAACAGCGGGAGGCACACCGGCGACGGCGTAGGTTCCTCTTTCTCCCCGCCGCCGCCACCGATGATCGGGTCGTCCTCCTCCTTGCTCCACCCGGCCACCTTCGAGTTCTTCGACGACGACGACGCCTCCTCCTGCTGCCCCGGTGTTGGCGGTGGCGGCGAACGATTGCCGCCGGCACCGCCCGCTGCTCCTCCCTCTAACGCCGCCATCGCGTTCGTTTCGATTGCTTCCTCTCCGGCGATGAATAAAGTGGAAGATGAACTAACCGAAAGTACTTACACATTACATTATCTCTACGACGTGGAAGGAGTTTTATATAGTTATCTTTGCGACGTAGGAGTTTGAGTCGAGTTAGAGAAAGTATAGTGTTTGAGATTAATTCGAGTCAGGTTTAAGATAGACTTTGACTTTGATTTTCACTTGGTTAAGTTTATTAGCTTCTGCAAATTAAATTGAATTTGATATTGCAAATTACAAACTGTTCGTAGATTTTATTTTCAATTTTTGAATCTTTTAGTTTTCAATTTTAAAAATCAACTCTCTCAAATTTTATTTGAAAATTCTAAACTTTTTGATCACTAGCTTGGCGAACAACATTTGTTTTGTCACGCCACCATTACTGGCATGGCAAGGATTTTTCCATGTCGGCTAGGTTGGTGTGGTAAAATAACACTAGCACAGTCACCATTGGTGGCAGGGGTGAAGCTAGGATAAATGGTCACCGGGGTCAGTATTAACCAGGGTTTATGTTTTTGATCAAAACTAACCAGAAATCATGTAATTTTGATGTTTTGCCGTGGGACGAAAAGTATATTCTGAGTGAAATTTCGAATGTTTTTTGAGACTTCACAGTAAAACTAGATCAAAACTTATTAAAATTTGGTAAGAAAAATGTCATATCGCTACATTGGAATCCAACACTAAATCGGAAATATGTCATCTAGTTTGTAATTAATGATATAAGAATATACATAATACAGGACAAAATTAATGACAATACATTATGATAAAATGAAATGTCTACAAATCTATTAAAAACTATACATTATTAATTTGTAAAAGACATCAAATGCACCAAAGATCATCAAAACCACTAATTTCTTGCCTTCCGTTCTGCTAGAAATAAGATGATACTCCCTCCGTTTTAGGATATAAGATGTTTTGACTTTGGTCAAAATTAAACTACTATAAGTTTGATTAATTTTATAGATAAAAGTAGTAATATTTTTAACCCAAGATAAATATATTATAAAAAATTATTCAATTATAGATTTAATGAAACTATGGTGATGTTGTAAATATTACTAATTTTTTCTACATAATTAGTCAAACTTACAGTAGTATAAGATATCAAGATGCGCAATGCCGGTGCGGGACAAAGTGCTCGAAGGAATACGATGACGCAACAAGAGAAACTCGTGGAGTTGTGGGCTTCCAATGTTATTTTTGGATCCAAATCCCAATCGTATATGTATATTCGGCTAATGTATAAATTATAAGTGCTAGCTAATTTATTGTTTGTTAGTACCGTTCCTAGTCGCTATTTGGGTTTTGACGGAAGAATCAACAATATTACCGGGGTCTAGTTTTTCTCTTCACTCAACAATATTACCGGGGTCTAGTTTTTCTCTTCACTGGGGTCATGGATGGCAAAATAAAGAAGGGTACCAGAGGTTCGCAAAAGATCGTCAGGGTCAACTGACCCCTATGAACGAGTGTAGCTTCGCCCCTGATTGGTGGTGTGACACAGTAACAACGTTGTTTCGTTATGTCACCAAAACCAGCATGATTAAAATGTTTAGAATTGAAAATAAATTTTAGAAAAGTCTATTTCTAAAATTTATAAAAAATCAGGGTACAAATAATATATATTCTGGATTGTATTCACGTCCTTAATTAGAAACTTAAAATCCACGCCCCCACAAAATTAAGTCTATCAGCACATCCACATACAGAGCAGAGCTAACAGCAGCAGAACCAGAGTGGCGATGAGGATCGTTGCGGCAGATGACGGGAAGCTCCTCGTGGCCGCCGTTGCTGTCGTCGTCGCCGTCACCGCCGCCGTCTTCTTCTTCCGCTTGGTCGGGCATGGGAGGGGAGGATGCCGGAGGCGGATGCGAGCTCCGGGGTCTCTCATGGCCACCTTGCTCCTGACCAGCACCGAGTTGGTCACCCCCTGCACGTTGTTGTTCACGTAGATGTTGATGCTGCAGCAGCAGCTGCCGCTCGCCGCCACTGACATGGTCGCCCCCGTGCTCCGGTTGCTCCGCTCGGAGGAGCAATCGTCTGCAACACCCATCGCCGGCGAGGTAGGCCGGTCGGAACGGACGGAAGGTTGATTTCTGAAGCTGGAGAAAACAAGATCTGCAACCTGCAGGGATGCAGTGCAGCAGCAGTTTCAGTTATATTTGGCATAGTTAGTACGTTGCTGCATCACCAAGAAAAGCATAGCATATGCTACTACGAGCACAGCTGGGGAATCACACTTTGCCTCTGCGGTTGGGCTACTCCCCAGGCTCCAGCAATGGATGTCAAGAAAGAGCGGGTTAATTACATGTCGCTTTGCGCTTATCTTTGTATAGCGTCCTAACATGACATAGGCACATAGCAAATCAACGGTCATTTTTGTGTTCTATTGTTGAATAAGCTGCGCGATAGAAGGCCCATTTCAGTTGTCAATGATATTACTGGGCTGGACTGTGGATTTGGAGAAGGTCAGAAGGCTATAAGAAAACGCCAGCCCATTCTGCTCTTCTAGTCCTTTCTTTCCCCTTCACGACGTTAAGAACATTGTCGTTTTTTATTCAAACTTTGAAGCATCGCCAGTAAAATCTCGAAGCATCACACGAATAAAAATAAAAAAGAACACTTTGAAGCACCACCAGTAAAAGTTTGGAGCATCACCAGTAGATTAAGCTCATGCGAAGTGCAAACTAGGGTCGGCACAACATTAATATACTTTGGATCCACATCTGTAAATAAAACACGAGGCTATCGACTCAAATACTTAGTACTCACATGCTGCAGTCATACGGGCCGAACGGCTAGCTGATACTACCAGTAAACCGTGTTCAACGGAAGGTAGTACTAATGCGTTAGGATGAGGGCAAGCAAGTTGAACTTAATTAATCACAGTACTCTACATTTTCTCAATTCATCCGTGCACACATTTTATACTTGAATTCAAACAGAACCAAACACACAGCAGCAAACATTTGAACTAAAACCAAACCAAACGGTACATACATATGATTACGAACGTCGATACAGAGAACAGAAGTTTACATACGGAGAGTATATGAACAGCGTTGTTCGTGCATTGCCATTGCATCTAGCAGCAATGCACGAGCGGGAAACACAAAGTGAAGAAATTACGAGAAAATCAAAGCTCGATCACACCGAGATATATAGGCAGTCGTGTGCATGATGGATGGCATCGATCGATTGGCCGGTGTGTCGGGGTCAAATTCAGTTAGACCCTGGCCGCGGCGGCGGGCTTGTGGTGGTGGTCGGCGGGGTAGTCGCCGCCGTAGCCGCCGGCGCCGGCGGCGTGGTTGCCGGAGAAGAGGCCGCCGTGGAGCATGGCGACGTAGAGCAGCTGCGTGAAGGCGAGGATGATGACGAAGGCCTCGAGCACGCGGAGGCGCCACCCGCGGTAGCCGCCGATGTGGATCTCCTTGCAGGCGAGGCCGAAGGCGAGCGCGGTGATGGCCCAGGCGATGAGCGCCGACGCGGCGCCGGCGGCGAGGCTGTGCGCGCCCCAGGAGCGGACGTGGTGGACGCCGGCGAGCTTGGAGGCGGCGCCGACCACCCCCGCGAGGATGGCGAAGACGAGGAAGTAGAAGGTGGCGCCGTTGCCGGCGACCCCCGGGTGGTTGGTCTCGCCGTTGATGTAGTGGTTGAGATTCCAGCTCGCGAACCCGATCACGATCAAGTACATGATCAGATTCAGCACCAGCAGCGGCGCGATCATCGTCCTCCCTACTCCGGCCATCTCGTATCAAAATCACAAATCAACACAAATTAGCAACACAATTAGCACTGGTTTAGCTAGCTAGCTGAGAGCTACTGTGATTAAGTGAGGAGAAAACGTGCTGGTTGGTGGAGGGATATATAGGCGGGGAGAGGGGTGACACGTGTGGGTGGATGGGGATGGCACGTGTCGGCGTGTGGCAAGGGGTAGGGGGGACACGTACGCGCGGGGCCACGCCACGGACGCCCGGCTTCTGGTGATTTCCGGAGAGGCGCGACGCGAGGGAGACGGGGGTAAAGAAAGCGTAAAAAAGTGCAGCGCGCGCGGCGTCGGCGTGTGCGGAGGTGGCGACGCGCGGGCGGGAGATCGAGGGGAGGAGAAGCAGATGGTTCCGGACTTTCGCCGCAAGCGCCTCGGCTCGGGGTCCCAGAGGCGGCGTACGTGGCGGGCGTGGTTAGAGCACCCGCAATGATAAAGTAAGGTGCTATCTATAAAACATGTACATCTCAGCAATAGATTCGATTAATAGTAAACCACCTTAATAGTATATCTACATTGGTATCTATAAATCTCTCATGCATTGTCTCGTTTTTCTCTATAGACTATCTCTAAGTTAGTAGATAGCTTTGCTCTCTCTCTTCATTTAATACCTTCCAAGTAGAAAAATATGCTGACATGGATCTCTTGTAGAGAGCTTATAGATAACCATTGTGGGTGTCCTTAGCGGCTAATTTAGGCTAAAGTGTGCGTGGTTTTACTTACTCTGGCGGGTGTGGCAGCAGGAGGCAGGGTTAGCTGCTTGCTTTAGGTTTGATGATGATGGTGTTGCTGCCTCTTTTTTGTTCCTCCTTTCTTTGACGCCTAGTGCAAATGTGCTTCCCTGTTTTGGGTTTACGCTGATCCGGCCTACTCCGTACTTCTTATCGTCTGCCTAAGTAATGCAGCAATCTGGAGTCTGTACTCCCTGCATTTCAAAATGTTTAACACCATTGACTTTTTAAGTACGTATTTGACCATTCATTTTATTCAAAAATTTTGAGTAATTATTTATTTTTTTCATATCATTTTATTCATTATTAAATATACTTTTATGTATAATGTATACATATAGTTTTACATATTTCACAAATTTTTTTAATAAGACGAACGGTTAAACATATGCTAAAAAGTTAACGGTGTCAAACATTTTGAAATAGAGGGAGTACATCGATCCTCAGAATCTTTCGAGCGCACATACGTGGATGCAGATTTAACCATGGTCGATACGCGCCACTAGGCCAGTCAGTACTCCCCCATTTGTGCATTGACGAATTTAAATTAAGACCTTCAACCATAAAATGCCTAATCCCTTGTTTGCTGGGTTTTAAATCTTACTCCTCTGTCAAAACAAACCAATTATAGATATGTATCTGGACAATATTTATGTCCAGATACATCCTTTAGGATTAGAATTTTTAGATGGATGGAATACACTATACTAGTACGAGCCAAGCATAATGAGATCTTCTATCCCCATGGGGCTGTCCTGTCAAACTGGCTATGTGATGTGCCTATCCTTCTAATCGGAGGCTGTTGCCTCTTTGATATTAAAAAAAAAAACCGGTCAGAGGTTCGTTGCTCACAACCACACATGCGTGCAATTTGGGCAGTAGTGGGCTAGTGGCGTACGTAAGCTGCCAATTTGGGCCCGGCCTTTTCGCGGTGGCTCCTGCCGCCGTCCTGCGTCTTCTGCCAGAGTGCTGTACCATCTCGACATCCTTTTTTGAGAAATGACAACAATCTCGACATCTCGTAGTCTCTTAGGCGTGGGAACTGGCATGTGTACAACAAGGAGTACGTTGTGATTTTGGCCTCGATCAGTTGGCTGGTGATTACTGATGGCCGTTATGCGGTACGGAGTTACAAAGTTACAACACCAAAATTACGCTGTCATATTGTTTGTAGGGGTAGCAAACAAACACCTTGGCTAAAATGTTGTCCAACAAACTTCGCTGTCACATTGCCCAAGTTCGATGAATCGGTCACGTCCTCCTGCATATGAAATTGATCTACTTAATCTAGGTTGCGAGATAACTACTTTCCATAACAATGGATACCAGTTGATACTTTTCCCCATTCCATAATATAAGACTTGTTTCATAATATAGAGCATGTATGTATGCATGCCATTAACTAGGAAATTTTTTTCACTAAAATATTATTATTTAAATCTTCTACCTTCGAGATATCTAATTTTAATGGGTGCATGCATTTTATTTATTAGGACAATCCAAATTATAAGGTGATAATAATTATTTCTTGATTTTTTGGTTAAGGTGGTTGTGTCTTATATTTTCGAATGAAAGGAGTATCTAACATGTATCGGCTGATATACATATAAGTTACTACTCCCACTGTTCATATTATAAGCCGTTTAACTTTTTTAGTCAAAATTCTTTAGGTTTGATCAAATTTATAAAAAAATAGTAGCATCAACAACATCAAATTAGTTTTATTAAATTTAATATTAAATATATATTGATTATATGTTTATTTTGTATGAAGATGTTCCTATATTTTTTATAAATTTGATTAAACTTAAAAAAGTTTGACAAAAAAAGTCAAATATATAACTTATGATGTGAAATGGAGGAAGTAGCTCTAATACCGATAGTACTCTCTCCGTCCCATTTTAAGTGCAGCCATGAGTTTTTATATCTAACTTTAATCGTCCTTTTTATTTGAAAAAAAATAAAAACATAAGTCACGCATAAAGTAATACTTATGTTTTATCATCTCATAACAACAAAAATACTAATTATAAAAAAAATTTAAATAAAATAAACAGTTAAAATTAAGCACGGAAACTTATGGTTTCACTAAAATTGGAACGGAGGATGCAGTAGGGTGATAGGTATACCAACAAAAATCAAACGTTTTACCGTTCTGTTTTTTTTTTACTGAGGAAAATATGAGAAGCGGATAACGAAAGCCTACGGCCTGTTACTACTGCCGTACTGCGACGGCCCACCTAGCAAACCCGCGCTTCACGACTGGCTCCACTCACCCCCGGCCTCCCCGTTCTCCGCGCCGAGGAATAACGGATAACAAACGCTTGGATTGTCGCCTACCGCGACGCCGCGAACCAATGGCCGCCTCCTCGCTCCTCCCCTCCACCACCACCTCCCCGCGCCGCCGCCTCCCCTTCCCCCCCACCCGCAAACCCCACTCCGCCGCCGCCGCCGCAGCCAAGCCCCCGACGACGCTGACCACCAAGCCACTCCGCCTCGCGCGCCCGCTCGCCTCCTCATCCTCCTCCCCGCCTCCGCCGCCGCCGCCCGAGGAGGCCGAGCCGAAGGACCCCATCGCGCTCGCCTTCGCCCGCGCCGCCGCCTACAAGAAGGAGAGGGACAGCCCCCCGCCCCCTCCGCCGCCGCCTACCCCTGCGCCGCCGCCGCAGCCCCCGGCGGCTACGGAGGAGGACTCGAGGTCCAGCAAGGAGTCCTTCGCGCGGGCGGTGGAGTACAGGAACGGCAACGGGGGAGGGCTGGGCAGCGGCGGCGGCTCCCCGCTGCTCGGGGCATCGCCTAGATTTGGTGAGTAGAGAGGTGACGTCGGTTTGGTTGTTTTTCACTCCCGTTGGTAAAAATCATTCCAATCCACTAAGATGATGAATGAATTGATGATTACTGCATTCACGGATAGAAATGAGGAATAGATGGAGACAGACAGAAAAACTTTTTCAATTCGGATGATAGCATTCTGAGTCTGTGTGTATGCAATGTCCCCGGGTGATATATATGGTTGTGGTTTGAAACCTTTTGCTGATTGATGCATATCCCCGTTGTGTTTTTACTAGAAGCATGTGGAGTAATGCAGTAATGGTCACTGTATATAGGTTTCAATTCCTGGAAGCCTTTTTTTTTTCTCTTTTGGAAAGTAGGCACAAACTCCGTTGATCAAATGCCTAGAAGCACTTTATTTATCTGTGGAAACATGTTTAGGAGGATTGCGAGATGGTTAGTCCAAGAGTTGGTGGATCCCTTTGTCATTGTGATCTTGTGAGAGTATGTATCTTTTTTTTCTCTCAATACATTCTTGTTTTGAAGAATGTTACCGTTTGTACTTGCAAACCTACAACTTGAAAACTTTCGCATGTTCATTTGAACCATGACACTGTTTACTTAGTTTTTATGTAAGAATAGCATAGAATCCTCACTGCGAACAGTTAAAAAACTTTTTACATTGTGCGAGTCTTCATTAACACCATCATTTTTATTGAGTGTTGTCCATGACACTTGCTTTTCTTTTAGGTCAAAGTACATTTTCTACTGAAGATGGTGCATTTGGTAAATTCACAAATAAGAAAGAAGAGTATGAGTACGATGAGACTGACTTTTTGGGCCTAGACTTTTTCGAGAAAAAGAGTTATAAGGGGCCTCCACCAGGTTTAGCTCCAGCAGCTGATCCTTTTCCAGATAAAGATTTTCCTGAAGTGGAGATAATAATAGGGGACCCTAGTAAATTTGGGAAGACTCATCGTTCGACAGAGGTTCAACCAGCAGATGATAGTGAGCCTGAGGAAACCTCACGCTCAACAACAGAAGAAAAGAAGGAAGAAAACAAGCCTGATGAAACACCACCTTCAACTGTTACTGAGCCAGAAGAGGATGAAGACGAGTACAAACCGACAGTTAGATCATGGGGAATGTTTCCACGGCCACAAAATATTTCTAAGGCGGTGATATACCATATTTTCTGTATCTCTTAAAGCGTTCCATGTATATCTGCTTTCAGTTATTAGAATCTTTTTCATGTTTGCATGGTCATTTTATTGTTATATGTTGAACTGTGTTCGGAGGACAATGATTTTTTAAAATGAAACTCTAATATCCTTTTTGCATACTTCTGTTAAAAAAACAAAAGATTATTGTGCAATCCTCTCTTTATATTTAGTAACTTCTCCTTTTTGAATTCCCGTATGATTGTAATGCTACATTTAATTCTGCAAATTATACAACCTAGTGGCACCAGGCTACTTATCTATAGGGAATCAATCACCACAAGCTTGTCTATTTGTACTGCAGAGATCCAGCACAATCCTTCAGAAAAATGTTTCAGTTAAAAGTTTGCCTTAACAAGGGACAATATTGACATATCCAACATGGCTGCAGAAGCTACCTGCATATGATTTATAGGCCATTATCCAAGAATGACTGCATGTAGACTGTAGAGCGTAGGAGTGAGTACATAATATGTATGTGTTTTTTTTTAGGTTAATATGTATGTGGTTTTTATATGGACTAGCACAACCTTTGGGACATACATGAAGATAATCTGTGAAACAATACATTTCTGACGATAAAAAACAATGAAGATTATTCAAGAAGATGATATTTGGAACTGCATTTCTTTCCCTTGTTTGATTGAGACAATGTATGTCGACCATTGCTGATGCTATCATAATGTATTTGATTTGATAAAATTAGATTAGAATGCAAATATGCTTACGGTAGTGCCATGTTTACCCAGTTCTGAATTTTCCTCTATTTCTTCGTTATTAGTATGGTGGCGGAAGAAATATACGCCTTGGTGGAGAGACTCGAAGTGCTGAAGAGAAGGCAGCCAAGGATAAACGTACCAAAGAGCTAATAGCTGCATATAGGAATAGTCAGAACATGATAGTTGATGCAAAGACAAAGGCAGAGTGCACTGAGGTACATGAAACATCATGTTTTGTTAATTATCCTTCATTGAAAGGAATTGTCATTTTTATTTTATACTACTGTACTAGTGTACTTTATGATTGACCTAGTTAATTCCAAGATGATGGTCATATCTACAGACAGGTGACCTGATAGGTATCTTATGGACTTGAACGTGCTGATTTTAAAATCCTTTCTGTTAGAATACCCAAGGAAAATGCTTTCCCCAGATCACATTCAAGTTTTGAAGTTTGGTGTTAGTGTAGTTTAGAGTTGTCTCTGAATATATGCACTGCGTTAGTATGATCTATAACAGCGAACTTTACATGCTGAAGGCCTTGAAGGAAGGTGATGAGCTGATGAATACTGGAAGACTTAAACAAGCATTGCCTTATTATGAAAAAGTGATGCAGGCTGTGGACTTCAAGGTATTCCATTACGTAATTGGTAATCTATCACATGAGAAACACCATGATAGGATATTTTGTCATATTGTCCTGTTAGATGCATTAATTCGGATACATTTTATTTCTCAAGTATATGCAGTTCTAAATTTTTTGCATTGCTGCTTCACTGTTATGTCCTTTCTTATTTTTATACCATGTTTTTTTACTCATGTTGCGCAAAATAAATTGCGCAGACTGAACTTCATGGAATGGCTGCTTTGCAGTGGTCCATCTGTCTAGATTCACTCTGCAGGTATTTTCCTTTGTTTTTCTATGTCCTTCCCCTGCATTGATGTTTTTCACCACATATACACCTGTTTTGACTTAAATGCACAGCAACATACTGAATTTCATAATCCCTATTTTTACTAAAACTAGGATTTTTCCACTCTATAAAATTAATGGCTTCTATGGTTTGTAATTGTACGTGTGTGCGTGCACATGTTCACATGTAGCTATGCAATGGAATGGGTTAATTTGCATATTTTCACATGCATAGTTGGACTTAAGTTGCATATTTTGATGGAAACATCGGTGCCATCAGTCTGCTTCACTGCATTTTTTAAATTTGTGAAGCATCTTGTGTTCATAAACTCTCTATTTTCTGGACATGTATTCCATGAAATATCTTGTTTTGATAGGTCCAAGGAAGCCATGAGCATGTACAGCAAACTCAAAAATCATCCAAATTCTGAAATCAGTAAGAAAGCAAACATGTTCATGTTCAGCTTTCAGGTAAGCATCTCAAATGCTTATGCATTCCCTCTATTGACTAAAGCACTCAACTAGGCTGAGGACAATGCAGAAGTTAGATATATCATCTTGACCCATCCTTGAAAGGCACTGACTATGAGCTAATCGTTTTTGCTGTCATCTGAAGGCGATGGACTTCATGAAGGTGAACAGCTCCCCTTTGCCCCGTAACACGGGCTACGAGAAGTACTTCGACAAGTTTGGGGGCCAGAAGAACTACTACGCTGCCCTAGACGAACCTGAGATGGGCATCGATCAGATCATCCCGTACATGCTCTTCCTTGTTTCCCCAATATTCTTGGTTGCTTTTGTTGCTTTGAGAAAATCCTTCCAGTTATAAAAGTCAGGAAGCATATGCTTGAATGCTTCAATCTTTGCTCCACTGACGAATTGATTAGTATGTTCCTCGAAACAAAAGGCTGAAGAATTGATATTTGACTAGTATGCAGATATATTGACTTGATTAGTATGTAGATAAAAATCAAAACTTATTTAATAGTATTGTCTTTTGGGCCGGCGTAAGCCAGCTGTTAGGCAGGCTAGTCTGAGAGCCTGTCTTCAGCTGGGCTAGGCCCATGTCAAAGATAAAACCGTTTACCAAATTTCTAAAGTATTTGGAGGTACGGATACATATGGCATTCTCATTAAGTATAAAGGGTTGTCTGAATTTCATTTTTTAAAAAATCGAAATATCTGAAATAATCTCGAATTTATGTTTAATTCTTTAACTTCTAAATTGTTGTTTCCTTTTTTTTTAATGTCGATTTTACCACTGCTTTATATATATATATATATATATATATATATATATATATATATATATATATATTACTAGCTCCACAAAGCAATAAAAGGGGGAAAATGCAAACAAAAACCAGCGTGATACAGTTTGTATAGTACTGGTTTTGAAGGTACTTATTACCATTTACTTTTTTACAGAATGTCAACACTCTGTCTGTAATTTTCTATGCCACAATTGGTTGCCAATTCAGACCACGAGCATCCATCCCCTTGATTCTCCCCTCCCAGTACAGTATCTGTGTCTTTTTTCTGTGCGCGTACTAGGGCTACCAATAAATTTCATGCATGTTTTTTCAGAGGCTAATGAATACATCATGTTAGTACTCTATGTGTCCTATACCGTATTACCGTGTTAATAGTGTTGTTAGAGCAGCAGGCATTTGAGAGGTGCGCAGCACATGTACGTGCAGGCCGGCCGGTTGGTTGGATCAAATCTGGCGTGAGCGCCCAAGTCTTTGACTTGAAGAAGAGGAATAATGTGCCAATACACTGCCATGTGTAGGAAAGGCTGCATAGCTTTCAGTAGGCATAGGTATGCATTGACCCAATTGAGTAAGTATATATAAATAAATGGATAGAATGTATTAGCACTCTCTTTGATTTTCTAATATACTATGATGTTGTTAACTTTAGACATACATAAAATCACTTGGTTTATTAAAAAATACATAAATATTATTTATTTTGTTGTGATTTGTTTTATCATTAAAAATCTATTTTTGCGTATATGCAAATAATTTTCTAAACAAGACAAATGGTCAAGTGTTCATAAAAAAAATCAATAACATCATATATTAAAAATAGAGGAAATATTAGAATTTCAAACTGATTTAATTGAACTACTGTGAATGAAATAAATACGCATAATGCTCAAATAAATACGTATAAATGCTGAGAACGGAACAGTGAAGAAAGTTACGGGAGTTGTAAAGTCAAGGGACGGTTTCAGGACGGTTGACAATGCCGCAAAGGTGAACCGTGGCTGCTTCTTCTTCTTTCTTTCCTTGTGGGCACAGCATCTGCCGAAAGGCGTCTAAAGCCGTCGTCATCGCAATCATCCGATTTGACGCCCTGATTTTAATATGGAGTTTTGAGGCTAATGATCCTCGTGGGTGCTGAGCCTAATCTGAATAAATTAGGGAGGATCGATAGCTGCTTGGTTGCTTTGACTCTGGTATAGTGGATGGAATTTTTTAGGAGTTTTTGTATTGATCGGAGCCGTTAGCTTTTGCTGTGCTAGCCTCAGCTTCGTGTCCTTTGTGAGCCCGCTTGGATTTGTTAATTTTGGTTTTAAAACCTTGAGTGAAAGAATAACTTATACTCCCTCCTTACTCGTAGAAGTTGTTTTGGACAGCGACACGGTCTCCAAAACACAATTTGACTTCTTGTTTCTATAAAAATATTTATTGAAAAGTGATATATGTATACTTTTATGAAAATATTTTTCAAGACAAATCTATACATACAATTTCTACATTTTCAAACTCAACAACTTGAGAGTTATTCATGATTTATATTCCCAAGGTTTGACTTAAACATTGTCTTAAACGGCTTCCTTTATGAGTACGGAGGGAGTACTAGTACTAGTCCGCGGGACTAAAACTGTTAAGTCCCTATCACATCGGATATTTGGACACTAATTATAAATATTAAACGTAGACTATTAATAAAAAAACCCATCCATAATGTTGGACTAATTTGCGAGACGAATCTATTGAGGCTAATTAATCCATGATTAGTCTATGTGATGCTACAGTAAACATTCTCTAATTATAGATTAATTAGGCTTAAAAATTTTGTCTCGCGAATTAGCTTTCATTTATATAATTATTTTTGTAAGTAGTCTATATTTAATACTTTAAATTAGTGTCTAAATATAGAGACTAAAGTTAAGTCCCTGGATCTAAACACCAATTGATAGTGTTCCACACAGCCGAGGAAGTAGCTAGCTTCCGAACATCTTATCAGCTATTAGGAAAAAAAATGCAGGAAACGAAAGGGAATGAAGAAAATTCCTAAAACCAATCATAGAATTATATTCTAGAAATTCAAAATCAATAACTTATACTAGTAGAGCATATACTCCTTCCATCCTAAAATATAAGAAATTTTAGATGAATGTGACATATTCTAGTACTACGATCATATCCTAATTCTTAATCTGTGATGAATAGCCAAATAGACAGTTGATTTGTGATAATTATTCAATGGTAGAAACAGATGAATCTTTCGTAATATTATTTTAATCTATTTTTCAATTTTTCAATATATTTTTTTGATTTTAAAATATTGTTATAAGAAATCCATATATAGAACGTTTTTTTTAAAAAAAATCATACTTTTTAGAGACAGCTGTTAGGGTAAAAAAGGAACAAGCTATTTTACCTGGATTAATCTGAGACAGCTCTCGGCTCTCACCAACAAAAGCCACTTGTTTCAGCGGACCTACTCCGTACACACACAAATTCTGTCTAGTCAGACTGAGACACATTATTACTCGTCACTGACACGCAGTAGTAGTTCCACTGGTGGCGTTAAAAAGAAAAAAGGGAGAGAAAAACAGCTCCCCCCCGGAGACATCAGACAATAGCCGTTGGAGGTCGACTCGGCCAGCAGAAGCGGACAGAGCGCGCACGAGCACGAGGCCACCACCCCAGTACCCCACCCCACACTCTCCAAATTCCCCGCTGATGAAAAAAATGGCCGCCTCGCGCTCGCCCCCACCGTGCCGATGCTGCTGCTGCTGGTGTCAGGGCTGAGGGGAGCAGCGACGACCCGGGCAGGTAGTGGTAGTAGGAGCCAAACTGGAGTACGGAGCACACAAAGCGCCAGGTGGGTTTTGAATGCAAGCTGCGTCGGTGCGTGCGACTAGCCGTTGCGAGTTGCCTTGCCCCTTGTCCAATTTCTCCCGTGCCCGTGCGCGCGAGCCTCCGCCTTGTCTCGGCGGGCGGGTGGTGGCGCACGGGAAAAACCAAGCGCGGGTGTCGCTCGCGGCGCGCGCGGCGCGGGGGTTCCCACCGGATCGGACGCGTGATCGAGGTGTCGTGACGGCGCCAACGGGCTAGGCGGTCGGGTGGAGTTCCGCGCCGACGAGACGACGCGTTGGCTTGGGTTGGGTTGGGTTTGCGTGCGGGAGCCAACGCCCAACGGGAGTGGACGACTGGTGGGTGGAGTCGGTGTGTGTGTGGATCGCTCGCTCCAGGGGGTGGTGCGAGGCGAGTGCGACGGAGACGCGGTTTTCTGCGCGTGCGCGAAAGCTCCAAGGAATCGAAAACGGGCAGAAACATGACGGGAAAAAAACGTGGAAATTGGTGTGCCATTTTATAATCGGGATTGCTAAAATTATGGCATCATATTTTCACTTAATTTCAGTTACTTTTACGCTCCTATTTCTCCTATCTACTCTTTAAAATAAAAACAACAAATTACTTTAATCATATATAATTCTCTTATATATCATGTATTTATAAAAAGAGAATCCAAGAAATGACATTGACAAGCGTCCAAATCTAAGAAATGCAATCAACTACAAATATGAGTTTTAAAAAATGCTATCGTACAAACGATTTTGTCCCAAAAATATCATCGTTGTTAGGGTTCCGTCCACCCCATGCCATTAAATACATTGTTCATCATATAGCACTTAACGACGCGGGATGGATGGAACCCTACGGTGATGGCATTTTTGGGACAAAATCGTTTATACGATGGCATTTCTTAGAACTCACACTTATTGATAATATTTTTTTAGATTTAGACGTTTGCCAATAGCATTTCTTGGGTTATCTCTTATAAAAATCATGATGTAAGTATTGAAACTAACAATGTAAATTATAGTGTAAGTTTCAAAATTTGTAGTGTAATTACAATTGTAAGAACGATCTAACTATTTTTGGTGAAAAATATATCATCATAAATATAGCTATTTCCCCATCAATTTTTTTCTTTTACCAAACTCTCCCAACCAGTTTTGGTAGTAGTATCTGTCAGGAGTTGGTCATCTATAAGACCATTATTCCACATGAGTTTCCAAAAGTCATGATCCTTTTTTGGAGGAGAAGTTTTCAATGATTCATAACCTATTAAAAAAACGACCTCAAAAAAGAATACTCGTCCTAGATTGGTCTAAATGAGGCCGAAGGTGCGATGCTGCAGGATCAGGAGCACGTCCTTTGCGTAGCTATTTATCTGGTTGTTGGTTGGCAGCAGTTAGTTGGTAAAATAAGGATTTCATTCATCGCCACATGAACGAGGCTTTACTACGGCGGATGTGTTTGTTGATTAGGACGTGCAGTGCAATTGTACAAGTGCTCCATCAATTCCATAATATAAGAGATTTCGGGTGGATATGACACATCCTACTACGCCTATCCAGATTCATCATTATATTAGTCTATCAAGATTCATCATTATACTAGCATTTGTCACATCCACCCAAAATCTCTTATATTATAGAACGGATGGAGTATATAAATGATGTACTCTCTCCGTCCAAAAAAAAAGATAATTTCTGGAAATGAACCTGGACAAGCATTTGTCCACATTCATTCTTAGAACTTGATTTTTTATGGGACGGAGGGTGTATGCACTAACGGTCCACCATCACTTGTTATTTTCAGGAGTACAGATTAACTGTACAGAGCCATCATTTTCGCTCGTATATCAGCAGTTGGGAAGGCAGGGCACTGGACCCTCTCCTTGTCCTGGGTAGGGATGGCAATTGTACCCGTTTGCCCATTTACCCGTGGGTAAAAACTCTATTAGAGTTAGGTTTGTTCTCTATTTTATACCTACGGGTATCTTATTGGATCAAAAGTTATGC